TAGGAAACTAGAAGCCGCGAAGTCATTGTACCGCCGTGAAATGAACAATCAAATTTACGTTGACCTCTGCATTTAGCAAATACTGCGTTGTTCTCGAAAGTGATCCATTATGATTTATTGTAATGTATCTTAATTAATTTTTCTGACATTTTCTTTACATTGGCAACTGCATGAAAGCTGTAAAGTAATAAATGTTTAGATAACTAGCAAAATGGAGTGGCGATTCCACTATAATAAGAATACGTGGCGTTGCGTCCGCGTGACGTTGCGTCTTGAAATATATTATCTAACTATCTTGAATATTTGCATACTCGTAATATAATGTATCTTAATTTATTTGTCTGACATTTTATTCAAATCGGCTACTGCGAGAAAGCTGTATAGTAATAAACGTTTAGAAAACCTGCAGAACCGCGAAAGGGAGTGGCGATTCCACTATAATAAGAATACATGGCGTTGCGTCCGCGTGACGTTGCGTCTTGAAATATATGAAGTACCTGTATCTTGAATATTTGCATACTCATAACTATTACCAGACTTTTCACTAGCTAATACTGTTTATAATAATATTTATATGAATCTCTATGTGTTAACATTTGGTTTTACAAGATAAATACATTTAAGTGCCTATCTTTGTTTTTCAACTAATATGTGAGTTGTTGAGCGCAAGTACGTAACTAACCGTGTTATATTACATACGTTTTTCGTCGACCGATAAAATGACATTTCAGTAACCTTGAAAAACAACTACTATATGCAATATGCATGTAGTCCGCGTACACTATTCACAAGCTTAATTTACTTCGTTGTAACCCCGGGTCATATTAAAATGTGTAGATTGATGGCGCACTTTTTACATTTACGAATGTTAAATCAACAACTATGATGGCGCTCGTCAACTGCGAATGCGGTGATTACAAAATATATGTACCCAGCGGTTTTTTAAAAGCTCTCGGAAGATATACGGGTGAAAGTGAAATATGAGTATTCATTTTATTTAGGTATAGATTTTATGATTCTTCCTCAAATGATCGAATCGATAGACACGATGCGCTTGAAAGAACAGTAAAATTGGGACCAATAATCACTATTCATGCTTTTCAGAAACGTCGAGTTTTCGGGCTTCATTGAGCAGAAAAAAATGACACCAATTTCTCGTCATTTCACAAACTGCTAAAACACGTTTTTGCGATTGCACGGATCGACTGGCAGCAATTATGTTATTATTAACGCGAGTGTATTCTAATTTCAACGTATGGATTCGACAGAGGGGGAAAGGGGGTGATTTTATTTTGTCATTAAATATTGAAATATTATTCACTGAATACCCCTGGGGCAGTGTTTGTGTACAACAACATTTAATAGGATTGCCAGTAAAGAAAAAATATAAGATGGTATTATTTTTAATCAGCGTGTCTATATGTGCGTGCGTTGGCCTCGGGCGTTCGTTCTAAGACAACATCGCATCGACGATCAAGCAAATTGTCTGTTGGGTACAAGTACCGAAAGTCGAATAATCGCGTAGCACAAATTCGATCTGAAAGTTGATTAGAACAATTTGTTCGGCATTGCTACAGGGACGTGTCGGGTGGCGATACAAAGGATTAATTTCAGTTGCACTACTCAAATCGAGGTCAAAATACCGATGTAAATTAACGTTATCATCCACCAATCATGTAATGTTTATTCTCTGCTACCCGCCCTTCGTCGTGAATATATTAGAATTAAAATGGAATTGGGGTAACTTGGAATTTGTTAGACTATTTTGGTAATAGATACTGTTTCACTAGATATTGTGTTATGTTGTGAATGAGAAACGTCGTTTTACTGGTTTTCGTTCGTCGAAAAAAAAAAAGCCCAAAGGGAATACAGATCAGTTGGAAGAAATCCAAACATTCACTTTTCGGTTTTTCATTTTATGTAACGAATATATACTAGAAGATCAAGTTTAGTTTACGATCAACCATATTAGTGACGTCTAACTAAAATACTAACAAAATCAATGTTGTTGTATTACTCATTATTTGGTATCCGTGTTACAGCGCAACTAGTAACAATATTCTGTATACACTTCCTGGATTGAAATTTACGTCGTTTGTACACGATCCAGTTGGATAAAAATCTTAACCCAGGTAGATTAATAAAGAATTATTGATTATATATATTTTAAAGATACTTTTTAAAAAGCAAAAAGCGACATAAATTATTATCAATCGATGTAACCGTGTAGTGCACCCTCTAGAGTCAACAATATTTCATATAAATCACTACATTTGGACATACGTTTTCTAACCATGAACTAACGAAGCGGATGAAATCTGTTGAAACGACACAAATAAATGAAATACGGATATGCACGTTCATCGTGACTAAACCCAACCAATCAAATACCGCAGGCACATTTAAACCTGTTGCCATGGGATCGAAGCGGGAGTACAAGATATGTGAGTCTAATCTGCACGAGCAGATAACATGACGTCATAAAAACATGCGTGATTTAGATATAATGACAGGAATTTTACAAATCGCTTGCGCATGAACGATCTTCGAACAATCGCGTATATGATATGAAAATTTAAATGATGACGCCAATGCTCGATTTGAACATTTTCCATTACCATGGCAACCACGTCGGATTCATTCCCGATAACTAGAAAACGTGGCATTACGCAATCGTGTATGATTGCTGATACGAACACGGGTACATGCTCTATTAGTCTACAACGATTCAAACGTGTTGGGAATGTTTCTCCATTACGGGCTCACATTTCTGACGTGACTCCGGGAAAGTGGAAATCGTTCTCGGTGAGACCTTTTTTTTCTAGCACAGGGAAAGGTGTATATTTTCGTTACGATTGATCGCTCTATTTATCAGAAGTGAAAGTCATACATGCCGAAGAATAGCCATGTCATATCATACGTATACACCGTCCAGGAAGTCACTGTATAGTAATGTTTATATGCTATCAATGGCAGTAAATGTGCTGCCTTTCTACGACGCCACAGTTACAGGGAAATACTTTTATTTCATTAGCGCGTGAAACTGTGAGGAAATGCATTTATACTGTACTATTTACTAGCCAAATCAAACTTTTTTTTTGGAATTTATCACTCGAAGAATTTTTCCATCACTTTAACACTTGTGTTTTTTTCTCTCTCTCTTTTCACAGTCATATGTTTGAACAGCGCCATGAGTGATAAAGTATCAACCGGATCGAGTTCCCATGGTAACGAGCTGTTAATTGGCTCGTCACAACGACCGGTGCCGAGTGAGACTTTCTCGCACAGAGCCAGTGTATCGGACAGTGTATCGTCTTTAGTTTGGAATACAGGTGATGACGATGAGGAGGGTGATGATGTGCGATTCGTTGAACACAGAGAAGCTCACCACACCGACCTAAAAAGCGCAGACCATCAATTTAGACCTAAAACAAACGCGTGGACATTGGAAGGCGTCGGGTACATGGTCGCTTCTCCAGCAGACCACTTACAGGATGGTAACGGCAGAGAACGCAAGTGTAGCACAGACTACGACGACAATGAACATGATGCTTCATCGATTAATAATAATGTTGCTCTCTGCGCAGACAATTCAGGAAATTTTCTTTTTAACAAGGTCGACCTACCAATTGAAGACCCATTTTGCGACGACGTGCAATCGCGAAGTCAAGTTGACTCGGTAACTAGTAGTCCTTTGAAGTCGTTTTTCTCCGAGGATCGCGTGGGGGCAGGACTTTGCGGTACCCCCGAACCGGGAAACATACGCGGCGACGTGGGCGGGTCACGCCAGGGGCTCAATAACAGTTATCACACCCTTTCAGTTCACGAAAGTAGCGAAGTTGGTTACATTTCGAGTAGCAGCGAAGACGCATTGAAACAGCTTTTGAACAACAGTGTAGATGTGCCCCCATCTAGCGAGGAACTATTAACTGACTCGGATAAGCAAAGTGTAAATGATATGGACAATCATGACGGACGCAGATCTCGTGGTGAAAACACAAACGAGCAAAATGGCCAGAGTACGATGGAGATGAACTTACCGGGGACACCTGTACCGGCCGAACAAACACCTTCGGCCATATTTGAAATCGGCAGCCCGGGTTCTACGGCCAGCGAATTCAGGCCGAAGCGATTACTCTGGCAAAATGCTGTTAAACGATTACAACTTGAAACTAAGCGAGCATTAGAAGGTGGGCTCAATGGCCGTAAAATTGCTGTCACCGATGACTATATCCAGGAGTTAAACAAAGAAATCTCACACCGAACTGGTAGTTTCAAAAACAAAGAAACACCTAAATCGCGGAAAATATCCGAGGATGAAGAGAGCGCGAGAGTTGATGATCCAGTAGAGAAATTGAGTCGTGAAGGGGAAGATTTTGTTGATGTAGGTTGTGTTTACCGTGGTGTTATTGTGCCAACCCTCAGAAAGTCTTTCAAAAGCAAAGAAATTGAGAGTTTGTACCAGCGTTACTTTCTCCGTCAGCGACAGAAGTCGCTGGTTTTCCTCAACAGTGTCGACTTTTTACGTAAAGTAATTATGCTTGTGCTGTTTCTAACCCTGGGCTCCAGCAAGTTGGACGTTGGACAAATTGTACTATACGCGGTATTTGTGCTTTGTAGTTTGACAATATGCCTCCTTGTACAGTGGAAACGTTTCGTTAGCCAGTTCCTCCAATGGGCCGGCATAGCCACCTGGTGTTTGTTGACGCTGCAGTCTGTCCTTGCTTTGACGCACGGGTTGGATCATACCCTCGAACCTTCGCTATCCGAAGGGATCTTGTATGCCCTGTTCACAGTCTTTGCCACATACACTATGTTGCCGTTGTCTCTGATATGGGCTATTCCAGCAGGAACGTTTACGTCCGTCCTCTATCTTATCGTTCAAGGCATACGAGTTGACATGGATGGACATGAGCACGTTGGTAGACAGGTAAGTGTTTGATTTTGAACATCCATCAACATAACTTGTCATCAAAACAGACATTCACTGACTCGTCCCGCACCATTTACTTGTTCATATTAGAACACAGCTCGCTTAATTATTTATTATCGTATTCGTTTTCAATTTATGATCGCATTCATTTGCCTAAATACGTATCTTATTATACATTTGACGTTATTGCGTTGAGTAATGTTTGTACTGGCGACGCCATATTGGCAGAGGTTAATAATGATGTTCACATTCGGAAACATAAGGCAAGCAGCTCCACAGATGCACGTACACAAATAAACGTAAATACGTAGAGGTGGTATGAATTTTGGAATGTGTTTATATCAAAATAGGTGATTGACACGTTTTGACGTTCATATCTCACTGTTATTTTCATTGTTGAATTGCATTATACGGTGACGCCTCCATGTGTCACCATAGTAACGAACTGTTCACATTGTGTTCTAGTAAACACTGACACGCTCCTATGGCAACTGGCCTGTTAATAATATGATACCGCTATTTGGCGATGGAGGATGTAATTCGAGTTTCACTACTGCATGGAATTCGCTATCAGTGCGGTTATCAGATTGTACAATCTCGGAGGGCCCTTGAATTTTCAATCACAAATAATTGATTGATTGATTCCCAAAAATCATTTTTTTTAATCCTGGAAATCATGGGTTAAACGTCAAATTACAGAAACTATCAACTCTCGCGATATTTTAGTAACATTGCTAGTACCGACGATTTCCATAGCTGACGTGAGATTATATGTCGCGTTCGTTTTGTCTTGAAAAACAACCTTCTGTGTGACCTATGACCTGACAGGAGTCAAAGCAAACTGTGTACCAGAAGGCAACTTGTGTAGTGCTCTACAAAGTATCAAAATCTTAAATTAGATAGCAAACCGCAACCCGGAAACGTTGATTTATATATTTGAGGGTTTCGGTGTCGCGTGGTATTTGTGTCCGAGTGTCTAATTAAATCCTCTTTTTTGATCTAGCCTCGTTCGCAGCCTGTCGTGTATATTAAAGTGAAACAATTAAAGTCGATTTGCGCAAGTCTATATTGCACGCAAACTGGTAATCCTAATTATGAACCATTTGCGAACGAAATTACATGAAGCCGGCGTATCCGAACGCCTATCAAAAAGCGATCAATTTGGGACATCTGCCGACTATACACGAAATAAATCGTGAATCCATTAAACAAGTTCCAGGCAGACAAGAAGTCGAGGGTGAAGGATATCTCTAAAGACTTCGGTAGTTGTTGAAATCGTTCTCTGTTTAATATGATAACAAAAATCACTTAGTGCCCACCACTTTCCTTTAGTACTTGGTTCAACCTTAATTGCGTTTCAAATTGCTCCAAAGAAATTCCTTTCAAATGCAAACTATTGAATGTTCATGTGTTATAAAATACGCAGTATCAGGATTGCAGTTTCTAATTCCCCGGAAGTAGATTATTCATACATTGATTAGTGACAGTACTCAATGCACAATAATACTACAGAAAATGTAATGTTATCACAGGCTGTACAACAGTAGCACGTGACTATCGCGAGACTGTACGTTGTTGTCGGGCTATACGTATTATAAGTGAAAATAAGTTTAATAATAATACATTATTTATAGAACTATATAAGTTGAGCTCTGTTCATGTGGTGAAATACTATCACACGCCCTGCATATTTTAAACCACAGATATGAATATTTTAATGGTCATATGACGATATCCGAGAATCGTTGTTGGCAGTTTAATGTCAAACATTCAAATTTAATAAACTCCCGTTTCCGTCACTGTCGCATTACCTCGCATTTTTCTTCATCGTCCTAAGAAGGAAAATTCATGCGCAGTTTTGAAATATCTTTAGAATTAAAATATATTCACAACACGGCGTAAGTGTAAAAAAATTACGTCCACACACTTCCGAATCGTACATTACGCGATTCCCAGTTGTGGGGAAACGTTATGTTTCTACATACTGTAAAGGGGGTAATTATTCACTGGGTTTTAATTTAGCTTATTTCGCTGACTGGAAAATGCGATAAATTAAAACCCAGTGAATATGTAAAATTTAGCATAGAACACATCTAAATGACGAAACCATGAATTTAAAACCCACTGAATATGCCTGAAATGGTAAATCAATGAAATTTAAACCCAGTGAAAATTAGTCATTTTACAGTATTCAAGTTAAAGGGGGAGGGTCGTCACCTGCGCACGTGCGGGATTTGAGTCCCAAGCGACGATAACAACACACGCTAAAAACGCAAAGGCTCATGGGTAAACGCTTGTTTGTAAACAATGACGAGCTATGGCCATCTGGCGCATGCGCATCCCCAGCTTTAAGACAAAAACAGAAAATATAAATAAATATTATCCCAAAATTAAGTTCTACAGGAATAATTATGTTTCGGCGTTTTCCTGAAAACAATTCTTGTGGTACACGCGATAACCGTAAAATCCTCGTTTAATTACTTATAATCAACGATGTTTCCCAATGCACCATTCTTAATGATTGCTCTCATACTAGTCACACTGAATAGGTGATTTTCCGTACATTTGCGAGATCTCGCGAGATGCATGAAAGACGCGCGTCGAACGTCTGCTGTAAAAATCGAACGATTTGATTTTCAACTCGAATTTCTTTATTTCGTAGCTCACACCGACCGGCCGATCTTCGACGGGGGAATATTGCTTCCGAATATCCTTACTTAATCGAAATTGCCTATCATCAAATGTGGACAGCACATTATTAAGCATGGAAATGTCCCCGAAATACTTTCGCGTTTGTTGAATCCCACGCGATGTTTGACGCCACTACGACGCTATGACCTTTGTTTGTCCTGTTTTTACGTTCGATTTCACGCATAACGCGTGATTCTCGCAGTGAACGAAAATGGTCTATTGTATTGTATGAAGAGCGTAATACTGATATATCGGCGATGTGTCATGCTTCATTGTAAAACGTTCAAGTTCCCGTAATGTATTTTCAAAAGAACAGATATGAAAAAGGAAATTTAAAGCTGACTTTACGTACATCAAAACACTGATGTCTTTAGATGAGCAGTGGGCTGTACAACGCCTCGCTGACATATTTTATTTTCTCACAATCACATTCGTGCGAATGCTTCTGCATATGCTCCATAATAATGACTTCAAATAGACTTTCCATGAAAACAGAGTTCACATCAATATTCAAACAATTAGTCCCTGTGTGAAGGGCTCGCCCTCGTGCATAGTTTATTTATAACGTTTTGAATTTGGAATTTCTTCAAGAAAATATCAAGATGAAGTCGGAAAATACCAATTTTGTTAAAAAATTTACCAACATTATCACAAAGAATAATACCAACAAGAATAACCAAAACCACAATATTTGAGTTTGAACTCAAAACGCTGTACTTTGACACATTACCTTTTCAGTTGAGCAAGAGCGATAAAATATAGTTTCTTCAAGTGATTGGGCAGTGTTTGTACCCGAGGATAATCATAAAGTTGTGGTGTGGTTCATATTGAATCGTGGATTATGGATACCAGATTGTTTATATACTAGTTAAAATTATATACATTGTTTGTGTGACCGAGATTCGGTTTGTGTATTTCCATATAGTCACTGTGTGGCCGTGTTCACAACAAGCCATTTAGAACTGACTTGCCAGTTAGCATGGTCGAATGGTTAGCCTGCTCGCCCGCTGTTGTGAGCCGTTACAACGTGTGCGTAAGTTCGAATCTTGGCGGTTTTTAAAGCGGGAGGATCGTTACCTGCGCACGCGCGGGAATTGGGTCCCAAGCGACGATAACAACACACGCTAAAAACGTAAAGGCTCATGGGTGAACGCTTGTCTGTAAACAATGACACGCTATGGCCATGTGACGCGTGCGTGGGTGACGACTCAACCCATTGACGCTGCAGTTCGGCGTCTTCTACACCGATCTGACGCATATCGCGCTAGGTGTGCCGGGAGTTTGTTCGAAATTTCGAACGTTTCGAAGTCAATCGTCGATTGACACGTATTTTACGGATATATTAAATCGTTTCAGAGACCTGTTTACTAAATAATGATAAATGAAACTTAGAAAACTTGTAAGAACAAACTGGGCCCAAATCGCGCAAATTGCAATAAGTTTACGCTGCTAGAGTCTGGTTCGGATGGAGTTCTACGCGTGATTTTATTGCGCTCAAGGACGTTCTATTTTCGAACTAGTTGAAACCGGAAATAACGCAACTACTTTCGAACTTCAAACACAAATTTGATTATCGTTATTATGTGTTAGTTTGTGTTATTTCAAAGATTGAATTATGTATGACAATAATATTCAACTCTATAAACAATATTTCACTAAAATATGTGATTCAAAGGCAACCCAAATTGTAAAAAGCAATATAAAGTTCCGCGTATAAACACTGTTGTAAAGAGGCGGCGGAGCGGAATTTTAGCTAAAATCGGCTAGTAAGGCGTCATATGACACAGGTTTGTGCTGGGACAGCGCTTCCGGTGACGACACAACGGACTCAACCGCTTTAAGTGAATGTTTGTTTGCTTGTAATTGTTTCTAATGCGATCGTTCCAATTGGCCGCCATGTAAAACCAATCACGTCTGTTGTTACAAATAACATATATCAGGGAACCAATGCACGCGATGGCGGAAACGAATGGAGCATTATTTTAGAAAAGAACTCAAACTGCAGGGTACTTATTCTTGCTAATACCTCTTTCTTAATGTCTTCATCTTCATGTAGTGCAATAGAGTAAATATTGGAAACAGATCTGGTGTGGCTGCCATGTAACAGCTGTTTTTTTATGAATGATTCTTTAAACTCAAAACACTTTATTTTTAAACGTTTACACTGATCATATTTGTGGAGAGGTATGTCTCTTTTCACCATAGAAACGATAGTGCTTCAATGATTGTCAGACAACTCCAAAAATTACTAATGAGGTTTCATGATTTTTACAAGGAGCTGTCTTTTGAACATGAATCAATCGATCCAGCATCAGGAGAAATATAAACCCGGTTGTCATAATGAGAATAATTTTTTAAAGATTTTTTTGCCATTGTCAGGTCGAGTCACTGTCTCATGGTTGAATTAATATTATTATTCAAAACTCGATTTGGTCTTTTGTTTTTTCTTTAAACGAAATTAAAAGCTGATATCAATATCACAAAAATGTTTTGTCAAAAGAAGACTAATACAGTTGGGTAGAGGGACTACTAACATTACATATGACATAACATGCCCGTGTCTCAATCTTCAATTTTCACCTTTCTGATATATCGATTGATTGACAAAGTATTTGAATTTGTTCATATAAAAATGCCTGAGTACTCACAGATTTAGATGCATAACTGGCCCAATGGTTTCAAATCGGAAGCGATGTAAATCTCTGTTAATGCAAAATATGTTTTCTATAGAATAATTCCCAATTGCCAATATTTTTGAGCAAAATTTCAGCCAGAGAAAAGGTACCTAAATCTGTCAACAAATGTTACTTAAATTGTGTTCACAAGCAATATCTCTGAATAGTCTTAAATACGAGATTCCATTCACTGTTAAATCACTGCCTGTGTACTTATACATACTTACATAAAACAACTAGATGACAAATTATGCTGCTGGGTAATCCGCTCTTTGCTCTATAAATAAGTATATTTAAACCAAAATTGGAATAATAAATAGAATACTAAAAATGATGAATATATCCTTGCTTTCCAATATAATGCGATATACCATTGATCATGAATGTTTAGTTTATATCGAACAGTTTTTTTTGTGAGGTGACAATACAT